TTGTCAAGTGCCTAGGGAACCCAGGATTTATGATGATGTTACAATGGCCCTTTCAGTGAAAAGTCTAAGAAGCTGTGAGATTCCGTTCCTCTGCTTTTCAGACTCTCTAATCTTTTTATCATGCAAGGACAATGCAGGATTCAGCTGCTTCTTGGGCCACAGGACTGTCCATTTAACATCAGGCATTGTGAAGTAATTACCATAGTGACAATGGATTTTTGCATCTGACCAGCAACACTTTCAAAATTTCTAGGGTTGTCAATTTGTATAACCCAACTGTTAAGACATGGCTTACTTTACAAAAAATAAAATAATCTTGTTAGGAGTTTTATTTAAAGTGCCACTATGTCAAATCCATTTGAAGCACAAGAACTGTTTATTGGTTGTTTATTGGAGTTTTCTTGTAATTATAATTGGACTTTGAACACAATATTCTGTAAATACAGCAGGTTTTTTTCAGTGCATTAGTAGGGCTTTTTCTTTACTTTTTTGGGGTTGTGGTTGTTGTTGTTTTTGTTTGTTTGGGGTTTTTCCTGTAAACTGCAGATATTGAATATTCTGTTGGGAAACAATGTAGCAAAAATGTTTACAATGGAAAAAATAACAAATACAAATATATAAGGATATATAGGTAATGCCTGTTGCATACATATAAAGATTACTAAACTAAACTATGCTCTGTGCTGATGTACTAGATGGGAACTCTACAGTAGCTTTCCATCATGTTTTTCATTAAAAACATTGATCATGGCATTTCTCATTCCTTCCCTGAGGTGAAAATGCAGATTTTTTTGCTATTTGCTACACAGAATGATCAGTATTAGTAAGAAATATTGATTTGAAACCCATGTACCCTGCATAAATGCTGTGTTACTGCTAATGGAGCTCTTGTTTGACAGTTAAACTATCGTCTATATAGGAGGGTCCATTGTTTTGCGTTTATGTACATAAGGAAATTTCACTGTACAGTGGCTAGAGCTGGGAACTGGGAATAAGCATGAGGGTTCTGAATCCCAACTCTATTCACCCCACATAAAGTTAAAACGAGGTTTTAAAAATTGATGACATGCAGGTGTGTAACAGTATGTGCCGAGATTGAAACCCATACACTTCCAATTCCAAGGATACAGGTCTTCCAAAAATAAGATAACCTTACCTGGGCACTACTTTGGTCCTGTAAAGGGAGTCATGCACATTTTGAGCCATATAAGCAAATTATCAAAATGGCATAATTTAGTCCCTTTCCAATGTTATTCCTTTTCTGTGCTTCATTTTTGTGTAATTTCAAACACAAATGCAAAGACAACAAGTTTATTTGAAAAAAAAACATGTATTTAAAGAGTGTGATATGTACTTCACAGTAAACTACATACAAAGCTTGTCTACATAATGTATTTTCATGAATCAAGCTTTTAGCATATTAGTTATTGAATGATTGCTCACTATATATCATCATCCATAGCTTACATTTGTTTTCTATCATATAATTATTTAGAGCTTTATTGAATATTTCACAATAATTAATTAATTTAACTTATTCTGTTTGCAACATATCCATGAGCAGATTGCGCTTTCCTAGGACTTATTCATAATTTGAATTTAGTTGGTGAACATGTTTTCCAATTTTTAAATCTATAGATTGATCATAAATATCTGAAATTGTAAGTTGAGTTGGTTACCAAAGTTGTGTTGGCCAGATGAGTTGCATGTTTTTATTTCTGTTCTCTGATGGGATTAGTGAGAAGCATTTCTGGTGTGAATATTTATGCAAGTACAAAATTTGTTATCCATGAACACGTGGATGCAACTTAAATTAGCTCTCAGTCTGTGAACATTTTTTTGCCAGTAAAATTTGATTGCTCTACTGTGGTCGGAAAGCACATACAAAAGGAGATTTAAAAGCAAATTTATTTTAAAATCCAAATGAATATTCATAGTGTTTTTGCATATTTACCCAGCTCTGATATTTAGAAACATGTTTGTAATCATATCAACACACATTATAGAGTATTTTGTAATAATTTCCTAAAAGTTTTCATTTAATTTTTGGGTATTTGGATAAAGAAGATAGAGTGCAATCTAGTCTGACTTCCTAGGAGTGTTCATTGGTAGCAGCCTAACGGCTGTTAAAGTATCTGGTGCACATCAGAAGCATGAGCCTCAGTATAGTCTCCTGTCACCACCTAGCCATGAATCCGAATAGCTACATTCTTTTATCCATTGGTAGAAGTTAGCTCTATGAGGCCACATATCTTTTGAAAAGTATAGCATGCTTAGGGCCTGATACTATGAGCTGTTGACCACTCAGAGTTAAGGGGTCTCTGCAAATCCTGGGAAGTGTTCAACACCTTGCAGAGCTGGGCCCTTGGCAGACTTGCATGGGTTCCTTTAATAATCCAAAGGAATCCCCATGTACATGCACTATACTTGAAACACTCATTCAAGCACAATATTGGCAAAACTCTTACCAGTCGTGAATACAGTCTGGCTACTCTATGGATGGAATACAATTGCCCAGAACCTGGGATATGGTGTGTCTGGGCTTTGCTGCATATTCTGGACTTAAAGCCAGAATAGCGAGGCACAAAGACTTACTTCATTACAGAGGGACCCTGCTGCCTTCTCCCCCTCCCCCCCATCTGCTTCCATACTGCTGGCACAGAAGGCTAAACTCCCTGGATCCCTGACTGCCCAATCACCACCTTGGGCCATTAGCAACTAGTGCAATTTAGAGCAACATTTAGGCTTCTTTGAGGTATGCCAGGAGACTGGCCCAGCATTTAGCCCGCCAGGTCTGGAGAGCACAGAGGCCATCTTCCTCAGCAGTGCTCATAATCCTAGGGTAAAATGCATTTTAACCAATGTATTAATTTCACCACAAATATAAAATATTCACTGGAAAAAACAGCATGTGAGCAATTCATTTCATTTAGTTTTAATGCTGAGTCCTCTACACAAAATATTTAAATTGCTTTACAAAAAAGAGAAACATCTATTAATGGCTCACAATTATATTACACTTATTTTATTATTTAAATGTTTAGCAAACCAAAGTCTGTAAAGATAAGGAAAGAAAAGGTTTGAACAAGAGAAGCAGAAAATTGTATTCTTGTAGAAATGGGAATTTAGTTTTCTTCTGAGTAATTCAGCTTGTTGGGGACACACAGGGTCATTCTACTCCCCTTATATCTGTGCTATCTCATTGATTACAGCCTGCTTGCACTGGTATAACAGTTATTATCTCACACTGAAATACTTAATAATTATTATCAACTGCATAACAGAAGCTCTGAGAATATAAGATGCAGCACCCTTTGATCATCTCTTAGTAATTGTCACTGGCTAATGGAGTAATTATCATGTGCTCATTCTCTGTAATGTGGGTAACAGGAACATGATGATGATGATGCGTAATAGGAACATGATGATGCAACCAACCTGTCTGTGTGGTTGGACATAGATACGCGTGTGGAGTCCCACTGACTTCGGTGGGATTCTGCATGGGTGTAAGGAAGCCCTGGTTGGATCCCTTTGCAGGATGGAGCCCTACTTTAGTCCTAGTTTAATATTTAATAATTGTAAAGTGCTATCATGAGGCTTTGATAATTTTAATGTAGATTTTACTGAAAGAGGTAAACAAGATATTTTTTAAAAATTCAAAACAGGTTGAGAATTTTATGCTATTTTATTGAAAACTTGAGGAAGGTATCTCTCCTATTCTCTCCTGCTCCAGGCAGATGGTAAGTAGCATACTGTAGATATCAGTCAACAGGTGTATGCACACAGCCATAAATGTCCAGAATACTGCTGAATCGGACTGTAGGTGCTGGCTGGATAAAAAGACAGCATTCCAATTTGTTGAAAGAATTATTTTTTATTGGTAAATGTTGGTAAACGTCAATTTCAAAGCACAAACACATAAACCAGAGAAAAAGTATTTCCTTCAATAATAATCAGAATATAAAGACAGACAAAGAAGGAAGAATGCAGCTTGAGAACTTAGATTTATTTAAGGATATTTACTTTATATATTTTGACATGTGATGTTCACAATTTGTGTTTTAAGTTATAAAACATTTTGAATCTCAATTTCTGCTGTCATTACATAATTAAGGTCTGACCCTCCCATAATTTCCTGCAACTGTGAAAATTTAAATAAATAAAAATAGAAAAAATGCTTAAAAATAAACATCAAAATTATCTGTCAGATTTATTTTAAAATGTTGAATTCTGCCAACCCTAAGTATATAGCAGCATCAAGAAGACAACATGTAGGCTTGGAAATTTAGTAGTAACAAAATACACGTTTTGCAGTGTTCACATTATAAAATAATGTGGTTTATAGCCATGAAAATAAAGTTAATTTTCTTGTTGTATGAAGGAACCTCCCATGACCACAAACCCAAGGAAAGATGTGCTCTGTAAACCTGCCCAACAGAAGAGCAACCCCCTGCCAATTTTCAAATTCCCAATACAACTGTAACTTTTATCATGGGCATATAGTTCCACTACTCTAGAGGCAGTTTCCTCTTTTCCTTATTCTGTCATGATACTAAACTATCTGATTTGTAATATGTCTTACAGCACTTAGAAATGCTGGAAGCACGTCTTGTTGGCTGATGATACCTGACATGTGACTATAGCTGGGTTGTTGTTTTTTTCCCTTACAAGTGTCTCTTGCTCTGGAGAATGTTCCCAGAGCATATTTTCTTTCATGAGATTCTATTTGTCTAGGAGGTAGAGAGAAAGATGTGAAGGGATATTGGCATGGCCTCCAGCACTTTAATTATGGGAACATTCTTCCAATAATAGGTCTATATGGGTAAAAGTTACTTGTAAATTCTATCCCCGGCCTATAGATATTCTTCTGTCTCCAAAATCCCATTGGGCTGTTGGGGTAACTTAAAAGTTAGTGTTTTTTGTTTGCTTGTTTGTTTTTCCCTTGTTATTGTGACTGTAAAGTTACTTTTGATTTCAAATGAACTTTTCATTCTTTGCAGCAAGAGCTGAGATATCGGATAAGTGGCAGCACAAAATTTAAATCTTCGTTGTCAACACAGACTCATTAAGTGGCCATTCAAATGGGCGGAATATGTTACATAAATTGGCAGCAAGTTTCCAGTGGGTGAAGGTAAGATATCTGACTTCATGACTTATAATTGACAACTTAGGTATATGTTGCTCTCTTTTTGTTGCTCCATATATACACTGTGGCATGTCAACAATTAGTAACCTCTTGTTTAAGCCAATTTGTTGCCAGATTTTCTCAGAGTTTTCATAGTGTGGGTCCACCGGTCTTCAGTGCCACTCGGAGAGCTGGTGCCTTAGGACATTGAGCATCTTGCTGTGACTATCCTGTAATGCACTATTTGACAAGCTGCACTATTCATATCATGCTCATTTACATTTATAACATCATAACTCTTCTTAAGGACGCACAAAAAGGAATTTAGCACTGAAAGGGTTGAGGGGATGGTAAGCTATAGTCAGAAATTTTCCAAAACAATGAGAGTAACCATATTACATTAATCCAAAAATGGGCTCTGTGTTGCTGTTTTTCTAAGGCTGCATGGATGAGCAGCTTTTGTATTTATTTTTCACCTGTACCATTTCATGTAATGTCACTAATCTTGAAACAGCCATTCATACTTGTGCTGCAAAAGGTTTTGTTGTTCACTGTGAGGCTTAGCTGAAAAATGCTGCTGAAAATGTGGAGACAGGGTGATAGGGGTAAACCTCAGACTCCAAAAAATGGTTCTATTATTCTTCCTCCATAATTCTATTATCAGCCTTTAACCTCTGACATTCTGTGCTTTTCTGATCTACCAATGAAACAAGAGATTCCTCAGAGGTGAGAATTCTTAGACAGAAGTATCCATATATTTTTTTAAATCAACGATAAAATCTGTAATAAATAATATAGATAGTAGCGTCATTTATAGCAGTATCAGATGTGAAATCCTTTTTGAATTGTGATGTTTTTAAAAGAGTCTACAAGACTGTGACATTAAAGCTCTGTAGCTATCTGATTCATTTACATCTTTTTATATTCAGTACACTAAAGTCCTGCTTGACAGATGCTTCATTTCTGTGGAAATGTCCTTGAATGATGATGATCTCATTTCTGGCAGCCAAATGGGCAAAATACTACAACATCCCTATGAACAGCTACATGGATGTGCATGTCCAACATTCACTGAGTCGTTAAGGTAGACTGCAGCAATTAGTATCAAGTTGTAATAGAATGGTTTCAACCGTTAAACTGACCCCACTACACTGAATTTCCTTGAGGAAATCTATAGGCCTCTACACCTTTGTCAGGGTTCCTTCCCCACTCTGAACTCTAGGGTACAGATGTGGGGACCCGCATGAAAGCCCCTAAGCTTATTTCCACCAGCTTAGGTTAAAACCTGGTATGCTGCCACCACCAAGTGATTTAACAAAGAATCAGGGAAGAGACCACTTGGAGACATCTTCCCCCAAAATATCCCCCCAAGCCCTTAGACCCCAGTTCCTGGGGAGGCTTGAGAATAAACAAGATGAGCACAAACCAGCCTTGGATTTTTAAGACCCAAAAAACCCAATCAGATTCTTAAAAACAACTTTATTAGAAGAACAGAAAAAGATAAGAGAACAACTCTGTAAGATCAGAATGGAAGATAATCTTACAGGCAGTCAGATTCAAAACATAGACAATCCCTCTAGGCAAAACCTTAAGTTGCAAAAAGACCCCAAAACAGGAATACATATTTCCTACAGCACAGCGAATTTCACAAGCCAAAACAAAGAAAACCTAATGCATTTTCTAGCTAGATTACTTACTAACTTTACAGGAGTTGGAGGGCTTGCATCCTTGATCTGTTCCTGGCAAAGGTATCACACAGACAGACAAAAGCCTTCCCCCCCAGCCCCCCTCCAGATTTGAAAGTATCTTGTCCCCTCATTGGTCATTTTGGGTCAGGTGCCAGCCAGGTTACCTGAGCTTCTTAACTCTTTACAGATAAAAGGACTTTGCCTCTGGCCAGGAGGGATTTTATAGCATTGTATACAGAAAGGTGGTTACCCTTCCCTTTATATTTATGACAATCTTCAAACTAGGAAGAAGCTGTTCTATATATTTGTGTCTAACAGTGCTTCTTATTTTGTTGTTCATTAAAACTCAATTGCCAAATGTTGCCATCCAGACCCAGTTCTTGGTCAGGCAAAACTCCCAGTAAAGTTACAGTTTAGCCTGAGTAAGGGCTGCATGATTTGCATGCATGCAAAAACACCACTGAATAAACAAAAAACCCCACCTTGTCTTAATTACGGCCCTGAATCTGCTCCCCTTCTCGTCAGTGGGAGTTAGGCAACTGATTTAATGGGAAGGGAGCTTGGGCTCTCTATGCACATCTATGCCAGTTACTGAACTTTAGTGTTCACATTACTAAGATTCTGAATAAAGCCTAATCTGCTTTCTTTTCAACTTGGCACCCCCTCTCATTTCTGGCTTCTTAGACTAGTCCAGGCCTACTCCTGCTCTTTTCATTCTTGGCTCAGTGCTACACTCACAAGCAGATTTTATTTTAATGACATTCTTGGATGGGGATAAAACGACCACCACATGTGCTTGGGAAAAGTAAAGAAGAAACATAGAACTACTAATGTGGGGCTCAAATCTAAATTAACTCAGGTTAAGCAGCATCTTACACTGAAAGCAGCCCCATTGGTTTCTCTAGGTGCTTTTCCATTTCAGAGTTAGGGGAAGTTAGAGATGTAATCATTTCTGAAAAACTTCCTGCATAGTGATTTTAGGATGTCCACTGTAAGGCATTTGAATTGTCTCTCGGTAAAGGGAGATGTAAAGAGAATGAACACATACAGCTTTTGTTGATTGTCATGTAAACCTGTGTGTCCTGATGGTTCTTAAATTCTCTGTTTCATTTTGGAGGATTTTTTTCTTAAATAATTTTGCTCCTGTTGCGTCTATTCAGAAATGCAGATTTCCTGTTTCAGTATCTAAATCATCAACAGTAACCAAGGTAAAATATGCATGTACAGTTATGATTATTGAAACAAAGCAGCAAACTGGAGCTATAATCAGTGTATTCACATAATACAGACCTGGCCCACACTGTCTGAGGACTGTCTTTCCTCTTCTGCTCTGCAAACCATCTAGGGTGACCACCTTCTAAAAATGCAAAATCGGGACACATGTAGAAGCCTGCCCCCTCCGTAGCCCTGTCCCCTGCTCCTCCTCTTCCCCCTGGGCAGACCAGAAGCTGGAGCCAGGCAGTGGTAAGAGCTGCCCAGGGAGCAGCATACCCCAAACACCATACAAATTTAGCGCCCTCATGGCCAAGATGGAGTCTGCTCTACAGGCAGCTCTGGCCAAGAGAAGGCACTCGCAGGAATGCAGCAGGAAAAATTCTTTCCACCCTAGGGGCACCTGTTCCAACCCTCCCAGAGTGAACCCACACACCCACTGGAAAAGTACAATGGATATAAGAAAGGGAAATATTTATTTACAGAGGGATGGGAGGACAAAACAAGCGGAAATATAGGGGGAGCAGTAAAACAGGGTTGCAGCCAAACCAAGGCCCCACAGGCCCAGTGGTAGCACAGTCTGAAAGGGCAGACACCGAGCAATGTGTCTGCACACAGAGCTCAGGAGTCCTGAGCAAAGTTCCAGTCCAGTGCTGAGTCTTGGGTGCTCCTGGTCGTCTTTGGCGCCAGTAAACTTTCCCCAACAAACCCTTCTCGTGCCCTCTTCTGCTGCTCTCTGCAAAGCCACACAGAGCAACCACCTCCGTCCTTAACTAGCTAGCAGCCTCCCTCCTTATTCCCAATGCAGAGTTACAAGCCCCAGTACTCACAGTCCCATGCAGCTCTGGGCCGCAGTGATACCAACACTGGGTCTAGCTTTGGCCTGTCCTTCTCTGGCTATTCCTCCCTGGCACAGTGCTCCTCCTGGCGCCTGTCCTGGGGTGCCCCAATCGGCCACCCCGTCCTTCCCAAGCTTCAGGCAGGTTCTCTGCTGCTTCATTTTGCAAGGGCCTGCTTGCTGCAGCCCTTCTCTCTCTGGAGCTCCAGAGCCACCCCCCTGGAGTTTCCCTCCTTTCTCTCACTGCTCCCCCACTCCTTAGGAAAAAGATTTAAAGGGGCCATGCTCTCTAAACCCCAACGGGGTTACACAAAAATTAACTAATTAATCTTCACAACTCCATTGTGAGGTAGGGGGTCTCATTATGTTTATGCCATCATTTTATATACTATGGAATCCCACTTATCCAATCTAATTGGGACCGGGGACAGATTGGATAATCAAAAATTCAGATAGTCCGGAGAATGGGAAAGTGTGAGGTTGCAGCGCTGTCTAGTGGCCACAGGAGAGATCACCTGCTTTTGGACCTATGTACACTGGTTGTTCAGTTAATACACAGAGTCAGATAATGGAGGGTCGGATAAATGGGATTCTACTATATGTCTATATCTTGTACAAAATTCTCTGATTTCTTAGGGCAGCTTTTTGTCAGTTTTCCATCAGAAAGCTGCCCTAAAGCCATCATACGTGACACTGGAGTATTTTTCCAGTATAGTGGACTCCTCTGCATGTATTGAGAAACTGGAGGCTCTTCTGTGCCACCTTCGTTATAGCTATGCACGTATCTTGTGGTTATGTAGATCTGTGTGTAATTTAGATGCATCTTCCAGAGTCCTGACTAGTTGCCATTGGTGTCGCTAGGGTTTGGTCTATTGGCTATAGATTTTCCCGTTCATTTTTGCATGTCATTGATTGGAATTATGCACTCACATTTCAAGGGGAGAGGGCAGTGGACACACTTGAAATGTTCCTTTCCTTTTGAAGGGAAGATTAAATTAGTTTGAGAATCATTTCCTGAAATTAAAGGCCCTAACGTGTGCTCACTGAATTCACTGGGATTCTTTCATGCCCCAAATGGAGAATATTGGTAAAACCAATAGTATCTCTCAAACTGATAGAAAAAAATTCAGTACCCCCACTATATTTATGAATTCACTGTTATAAAGCAGGCAGGTCACATATACATCTTTTAGTACTCATATGTATTGTAAACCATAGACTGTGACAGGAAAAAAACAGAGGGTCCCAAATATATGATATTGGCAGGA